TATAAGTTTTTATTAAAAAAATTAAACTTTTTAATAAAAATACAGGCAAATTTGCCTGTGTTACAATTTAAGAGATATAAATATAAATATAAAAATAAGAGATAATAACCTTTGTTAATAAAAAAAAAAATTTAAGTTTAGAAAAATTAAATCAGATTTCTTAAATAATAAAAAATCATATTGTGTGATTTGAATTGATTATCTTTTGATCTAAAAAAAACAACCTAATTAAAGCAGTAGATGCAGTGCACATAAACTTGAAAATGATTAATTGATTTCTCTATTTATTAGACAATATAGATTCACCAATATGTTTTTATGTCAAATTTAGTATAATTGTTTTGTAATTTATAGTTCAGTGCAGAAAGATTTGTATCTTAAAAACTTTTGTAATTTTGACTTTAAGTAAAAGTTTTTTTATTTTAGATTAATTATTAAAAATTTTTTAATATCAAATAAAATAGGTTTTAATTTAACTTATTATATTATTTTTATTGTTTTAACGTTGTTTTATTTTAATAATTAAGTATATACAATTTGCTGAATTTAAAAAAAAATAAAAATTTTTTTTAAAAAAAGATATTTTATATAATTTGCAACCAATATGCAGTTATATTGGCTTGTACTAATGTGTATATGATAAATATATGGTTAAAATTTGAGCAAAATTGAATTACTAGTTGTAAAGAAACTAAACTTTAAAGCAAAATGATTTGATTTTTTTACTATATATGCATATATAAAAATTACTATAGTAAATTATATAGTAAATATTATTAAAAAAAGTTGCTATTAATAATTTTTTTATTTAATCAATAAAATTATTAAAAAAAATTATTTTTATTAATTCAATAATCTAATAATTATATTAAATTAAAAAATTAAAAATTAATTTGTACAAAAAATATTTTAATTGGAGCTATTTGAGGTACAAATCTTTTTGCACTGGACTATATTAAGATATTGATTGGCTATAGCTGCATTTAGCTAATAATAGCTAGCTGATAGCTGACCATAGCTAGCCAAACCTATCCCTAGTTGTAACAGCAGTAACTGCAATGATTGTTGGATAAAATTGCACTAAATAACCAATACTACTTAATAATCTAATCTCTTATTAGTTGAAAGTTACAGTTAAGGTGGAGTACGATATTCTAATTAATAATTAGCATTTGTATTATTTGGAATTGAGTTATAGTATTTATAGCAAATACAGTATCTTTCTGGATTCTAGATAAATATTTTTGATGAATATTTGCTATTTGAAAAGTTATCTGTTAAACAAAAGTTAGCCAGTTCTAATGAAGAATTATAAGTAAAAGACATCAAATAATTAAAAATTTTACCAAAAGCAGCAGAATGTCAAGCATGTTTAAAAAATTAGATCCACAATTGTGATTGATACATTATAATATTTAAGACTTACAAATCATAAAAAGTTTTAATTATATTATAACTACTAAACATTATGATATATACACCGGGTGTTTATAAAGAGATAGTTTCATTTTGAAGAGTAAAAAAAATGGCAAATATTATAATAAATGTTGTAAAATCAGAATTAAATATAAATTTTCTATATGTTTCTTTATATAAAAGTATTTGTTTACTGAATAGGGTAATTTAGAATTAATGTTCAGGTTTCTGACTCTATGATTAAATGATTGTGATTGCGATTGCGATTGCTAAAGCCTGCCAATTTATCAAAATCTAAGCTCAGATTTATGATAAATTGGCCGGCTTTAGCAATCCCACAATCATTTAATCATAAAAAAAAAATACTTTTAAATAAAATTATAAGTTAGCTTTTCTTATTCTAATTATAATTAAATTATTAGAATCGACATAACAATTATATACCAGAGTTTTTTTAAATATTTGGTTTGGATATTTGATGCAATTTTGGGTTATATACGTAATATATAATAAATTATTTAGAAAAGTTACATAAATTAGCAGGGTTAGAGTGCTATTAGATTTAATATCACTATATTAAAATAAATAATAATAACTATATCAAATCAGGTGAAGTACTGTAGAAGAAAATTTTTACAATAAATTATAATTGCTTAATTTTTGTCTTTTTTTTGAAAGAATAATATAGTTAATAATTTAAATTTTGTTAAAAGATATTACTTATTTTAAATATTTTAACTAAACAAATTATTATATTACTTTACTAGTTATAAAATAGTTTTTTTAATATTTTAATAATATTTTAATAATATTATTATATATATATAAAGATATTGCTTATTTTAAATATTTTAACTAAACAAAATTATTATATTACTTTACTAGTTATAAATTAATTTTTTAATATTTTAATAATATTATTATATATATAAAAAGATTAGATTAAAGTTCTCTTCTATTCTTTTTTTAACCAACAATAGTTTGCTATAGCCTATATCCTAGTAGGCAAGTTTATTCTTTATTAATTATTAAGAAAGTTTGGACAGTACAGTAGCTGTTGTTGTGAATGCACTTTTTTACTTTTCGCCAATTTTCTTATTATCCATTACACGGAAGCTGCTTATTTGTGCCCATCACAGAGTTGTAAAGAATTTTTCTTGTTGATACATTGCGAGCTTTCTAAAATTGCGAATATAATTTTCTATCGCATTATTTATAAATATTTCAATGTTAAAATTATTATTTTCACTATAGCATAATATATACAGTAAAAAAGATATTGATCGTATTTAATATAGCTTTTAGCGTCTAAAATGGTTGTATCAAATTTAATACTTAAAATTTAATTCATATTTAATTACTTGGAATTTATAGCGTTTTGCAGAAAGATGTCCCATGATTTTGTGATGAAGATAGAAGAAATAAGAGTTTCTAGACCTCAGCAAATTCTTAAATTACAAAATCTCTAATGAGATTTTATTTTTTTCTAAATTCGTTGTAATTTTTTGACATAGAATAGTATGTGAAAGTTTATTACCAAGTAATTCAAATTCTATAATAATTAAATATATGTAGAATATATCACTACAAATAACTTTACTTAATGTAAGTCCGGTCGCTATTAAAATAGTTTTTTTTTTTTGTAATTTTTAGGAGTATAACTAAATATGTTTTAAAAAAGACATGTTTAAAGATAGTCTTTGGTTGGAGAATTAATTATTTCACAAGCATATGCCATGAAAAATTAAAACTATTCAACTGTGAACACAATATTTATAGATCCATTTTTTTAGCTAATGTAAATCTTTTCGAACTTGATATATGATACTGTAAGTTTTATTCATAACTCCTGGTTTAGAGGATTAGATATTTTCAGCATTAAAGTACATATGGTGGTCCATTAAATGGTGCAATCTCGTTCATTCATAACATTAAGCACCATTTTTGATCATGAATATATTTGAAAGTGATTAAAATTTCTCTTTTCAAATAAATAAAGAATGATAAAATAAAATAAAAAATAACATAAATATAGGATACATTATTGTATTATTTCTTATAGGGAAACATTATTGATATAAATATTTCAAGAAGTAAAATTAAATAATAACTATATTTTAACTATTTTTATTATCACTATTATCATCCTTTACGAGATTTAACTTGGCCAGAATAGACGACTTTTGGAGGAACTTCTGTTGTATTTGCATTAACAAAATCGAAAGACAGAGTTTTTCCATCAGCTGGAATGCTAACAGATAAGAAGCCAAAAGTATAAGGGGATGCCCAATCTGGATTTGGACAACCAGTGCCAAGTAAAGCACCACCAGCACCAGAGCCGAAATAAGTGACAGGAGAAGTAGCATTGGCGGCCGAATATGAAAGATCATGAGCATGGCCGTTGAAATAAGCCGATACTTTATACTTTGTAAATACAGGAGGAAGTAAATACATCAAATAGTAGGCAGGATTTTGAAGTCGACAATCGCCAATAAGTGGATGGTGACCGACAACGAAAATCCAATCAGCATCCTGTGCATCAATCAACTGATCTTCGATCCATTTTAATCTATCGTTAATTTGTTCAGACGTATATAATTTAAAGTCATTAAGAGTTTGTTTTAAGTTATTTGTATTATTATAGCTAGTGTAATTGTAATAGAATGGATCTGTGTCAATATGAATAAAGACGGCTGATATATCATCACCAAATTTAACTTTCCTCACATAATAAAGTGATGGAAGGAAAAATCTCCAGTCAACATCCCAGAAATAGTATACTTCAGCGGTGACATTAGTGTACCAATCATGGTTTCCTGTTATGGTATACCATATAGTTTCATTCAATCTACCACCATATACATCCAGCCAATATGTTTTCCATTTTGGATCAATTATATTTAATACACCTTCGTGATCATTAGGATCCGTGACTGGAAGGGAGTTGTTCGTTTGATAATAATTATCTAGTAAAAAAATAATTGCGGGGGGAGTGGATATAAAATGCAAAAGACGTTGTATTATTATACTATATTTGAAAAAATAAACGCTAAAAATTCAAGTTAAAATGATCGATTTTCTTTAGACTTACCTCCGAGACTTAAAACAAAAGTAGTTTGATTGGCATCAGCCCAAGTTTTCATAGCAGAGGCAACTTGGGGTTGACCGGTGCCAGGTCCTTTTTGTCCCCAATCGCCAAAAGCCAAAAAAGTAATTCCACCCTCATATTCTTCTTCGAATGCGGTTGGATATGGATCGCTGACGGACCCACTTGGTTTATCATAATAGTATAGACCATTTTCACCCGATATCAGAGTAACCCCTTGAATAAAAGTTATGAAAAGTAGAAGGAACTTCATTTTATTTAAAAGTACAAGTCCTTCTACTTTTTTTTTTTTATAACCAATTGCTGTATATATATGATAACTCCGTATAGTACAGTGGTATAAAATAGTAAATTTCAAAAGCTATTGGAAGGATGTTGTACATATTCACAAATATTTAAATGGAGCGACTAAAAACAATACGCCTTTTTTAAAATTATACTTATCTGGTAATTCACTGTGCTAAATATAGAGTAATGAAATGAGTAATGCAATTTTTAATACACACCCCCCATGATAAATTATTATTACGTAGAATTTTGTATTATTCATCATAGTGATCAGCAAATTTAATACATCAAACACTACGGAAATCTGAGAATCGGAAATCTACTACCAGAAATTATGTTAAGCTCCGATTTTTTGAAATTTAGATGAAAGAAAATTAAAAATTTTTATTGTTGATAAACAGAGTAATTTGAAAAGCACTATAATAAGTATATAAAAAGGAAATTTAGCAACCTTTTATTTTTTAAAGCGAATTAATTACTCTTTTTAAATTTTTTTTGATTTTTTAAAATTTTTTATAATCAAATTTTCTAATTGAACAGTGCCCCAATATATGTGTATATAAAAATTCTAGAGCTAACTTCACGATTAAAAGATTTGCTTATATATCATTCCGGTAATTTATACGTAGAGATTAAAAATATATTATTAAAGCTTAACTTTATACCGTTGGTCACTACACACAGTGTCCACGGGTATTATTCGCCATCCCTATTGGCCCGTTTCTTGAAGAAGTATAAATATTACCTAATTTACTACTTTATTATAATATATCCCTAAATACAGTATCCGGTGAATAAGACTCCGTGTAATGTGGCAGTGTCCAACTGTAGTACACACGTACGTGTAACTTGAAAAAAAATCATTATTTCCCGCAATGGGAATAAACGAATTATTTTCTTTAACGCGATAAACGTGGCGAATCTATTTTTAATGCAGAGACGATGATTTTATGCGGTGGTTATTTAGTCGAATTTATTTCGGTGCTTATACCAGGAACGTTAGTGTATGGTTTTACTGGCATCTAAAACGAAGGCAAAATCTTAAAGCTGATTGGTGCACATTTTTTCTCATGATCATTACCTGTTAATGCAGTTAGGAGGTTTATATAAATATATATATCAAGAATGCGGTTTATACAGCATGTAGATCATGTATTAATTAACTCCCTCTCTAACCGACCCCAACACAACAATTTCATATTTAGAACTTATCGTAAATTGGTAAATATCACAAAAATTCGTTCTTCCTTAGTAAATGATTGGCTTACATGTGCTGCGCAGCAGCACATGTAAGCCAATCATTTAGTTTGATGGAGTGATATTCTGATGTCATTTGTAATGACTTCATTATTACGATTTACGGCATGCCATTTAAAGAAGTCCAAAAAGCCAGGTACGTAGTTTTAAAATAGATTGCCGAATTTGTAAATTAAAATTCACATGATGCATATAAATTACTACCTGGCTTCAAACAACCCCATTTAAAGTAAAATTGTTTTTTTTAAATTTTGGCCAACTTTTGATTCGATTATTAAAAAATGATTCATAATGCTAGAACTATCACATGAAGTTGATTTTTTTGGAAAATTGTTTCATTTATTTATTTTTAGCAAGTGTTAATACTTTTACAAATTTGCCATTACATTACTATATAATACTTTTACAAATTTGCCATTACATTACTATATAATGATAATACTTTTACAATTACAAATATGTATGTTGTAAAAATGAGAAATACTAAATAACAATTATCTAACAAAAATCTATCCAACAAACACTAAAATCCTAATGAAGGGCAAGGCCATGGCTCCGAATATGGAAGGCAACGATTGAGGCGTGGTAAGACTTGATCCGAGTTTTCAAAGCATCGGGCTTTGGGGACAATATTGATAGTGTCTTTGAGTAATTCTAACATTAACGATTCTTTTAGTTTTTATTTCGGTCTTTCTCAGTTTTGGGGTCACGTGTCACAAGAGTTCGGTTCGATACTTTATATTGATCGACATTCGATATGCGATCAAAGTTTAATTTATTTGTATATAAGTATAGATTTGATGACTAATTGTACTCTTTATTGTATTTTCTTTATATTCAAAACGATCGGTAACTTGGTGTATGAAAATAGGAATTTTATTAAGGGCGATTTTATTGAACTCAACTAAGTTGAATTTTTATTAGTGCGAAAAGATAGGACTTAAATACTTTTGACCTTAACTGCGTACATGAATGTCTTTAACT